GTTCTACTGAACATATTGTTGACACTGTAATTGGTTTTTAAAGCTAATTGGTATTTGTCCTTATTATACGCGTTCGATCTGCAAAATCTCTCCGAAAATCCAGGTATATACGTCAAAGATTTGTATGATATTTCCTTTCCTTCTGTAATTTTAACATTTGTATTCTCCTTTACACGTTTTATTAAACCGTCGATTGTTTTTTGTGGGAAATCATTCTTTGTTAATATATTTCTTATTTTTAATTCATTATTTTGGTGGAATTGCTGGTCACTTATATTGAAAATTCTATGTATAAAGTTTGTCGCTGTATTTATCTTCACTCGTCGGGGATGTTTTGAAAAAAAGTTTATCAATCGTCCAGATGCTGTTGGTTTTTGGTACCAATCTAACTTGAGGTTGTTGTCGTGTCTTATGATTATTGAGTCTAGATATGGTAGCTTACCATCTTCCTCTACTTCATGAGTAAACTGAATGTTTTTGTCGAATGTATTTAGTATCTTTAGTGTGTTTTCGATTTCCGTTTTCTTTATTATGCAAAATATATCATCTACGTACTTCGATAATAATCTCGGCTTCGTCGTCATCTTTTCTACGGAAACGTCCAATAATACCTCCATTACCACATCAGCTATTATCGGCGACGCTGGGGAACCCATTGGAAGTCCTTTTCTTTGTTCGTACACCTTGTCTTGATATACGAAGTATCTGGAGTCTTTTATACAAAGGGTCAATATTTCTATAAATAACTCTTTTGGAATTTTTGTATAGTCCTTGATTATATTCCATTTTTCAGCGATTGTCTTTAGTGCTAAGTTTATTGGGATGCTGGGGAACAATGACACTACGTCAAATGATATTAAGGTTTCGTCTTTTTCTATTTTGACATTGTTAATTTTAGATTTAAAATCCACTGCGTCCTTAATGTTGTATTTCGAGTCCTTCGTCAAATGTTTTAAAATATCTACTATGTATTTGGACAGTCCGTAGGTAGGTGAATTTATGGATGAGCATAACAATGTCAAAATAGAAAAAGACGAAACCTTAATATCATTTGACGTAGTGTCATTGTTCCCCAGCATCCCAATAAACTTAGCACTAAAGACAATCGCTGAAAAATGGAATATAATCAAGGACTATACAAAAATTCCAAAAGAGTTATTTATAGAAATATTGACCCTTTGTATAAAAGACTCCAGATACTTCGTATATCAAGACAAGGTGTACGAACAAAGAAAAGGACTTCCAATGGGTTCCCCAGCGTCGCCGATAATAGCTGATGTGGTAATGGAGGTATTATTGGACGTTTCCGTAGAAAAGATGACGACGAAGCCGAGATTATTATCGAAGTACGTAGATGATATATTTTGCATAATAAAGAAAACGGAAATCGAAAACACACTAAAGATACTAAATACATTCGACAAAAACATTCAGTTTACTCATGAAGTAGAGGAAGATGGTAAGCTACCATATCTAGACTCAATAATCATAAGACACGACAACAACCTCAAGTTAGATTGGTACCAAAAACCAACAGCATCTGGACGATTGATAAACTTTTTTTCAAAACATCCCCGACGAGTGAAGATAAATACAGCGACAAACTTTATACATAGAATTTTCAATATAAGTGACCAGCAATTCCACCAAAATAATGAATTAAAAATAAGAAATATATTAACAAAGAATGATTTCCCACAAAAAACAATCGACGGTTTAATAAAACGTGTAAAGGAGAATACAAATGTTAAAATTACAGAAGGAAAGGAAATATCATACAAATCTTTGACGTATATACCTGGATTTTCGGAGAGATTTTGCAGATCGAACGCGTATAATAAGGACAAATACCAATTAGCTTTAAAAACCAATTACAGTGTCAACAATATGTTCAGTAGAACTAAAACGAAGACAAAAAAGGAGGACAAGAGCAATGTCGTTTATAAGATAGCATGCAACGGCGACGAAACCAATATATGCCAAAAAGTATATATTGGCACGACAAAAACAAAATTAAAAACTAGACTTTCCGGACATAAATCGGATCAAAAATCAGACAAACCTTTAGAACAAAAGACAGCTCTAGCAGCACATTGCACATTAACAGGACATAGACCGAACTTTAAGGATATTAATATAATGGCACAAGAAAACAACTACAAAAGACGATTCACATTAGAAATGTTACATATCATAAATGTACCACCGGAAAAAAGAATGAACTTTAAAACTGATACGGACCACTGTGCACATATTTACAGAAATTTAGTACATAAACACAGATGGAAAAAGACTTAGTTCAAATTTGACGTTAAATTAGAGCAGACGTTTTCCTCTAAAACAAAGTTAACGTAAGAATTGTGTGTTGTGTAATTTGTCTTATTAATTTGTAATAATGTGTTATTTGTAACAGATCCCTGAAGATGATTGTCGATGACAATCGAAATATTGGATAAATAAAGAGAAAAAAGGAGATAACTAAATAAAATTGTTTTACTGACCTTCAGCCGAACTATCATCAAAAATATTAAAATCTACCAGGTCAACAATAAATAACAACATTATAAAATAATAATAATAATAAAAATTTGACAGAGGATGAGGGAATTTTGGCAAAATACCAACTTTCTGAATATTCCATTGAAACTGTTTCTAAAGTCAACCAAATACTGAATATCGGGGATACCGTTATATCGGGTCCATACCAAATTCTAATTATGTCAGTTGACCGATATAAAACAATTTATATTAAAAAACATGACTTAAATCTTAAAAAAAGCAGATGTTAACGATATATGTGGGCTACAACAAATCGTCCCATTTAATGTATCAAAAATTGTACGGACCTAACATACATTTGAGAAAATAATTTTTTGTACATCACTTATATGACCGAATTGTAAGCTTTAACCAAATATCCATAATGAATGCATACTTTTTATATGTCCTTTGGCGGCTTTTCTACTTGTGTTACGCTTCACCCACCATTGTGTGTAGAGAGGGTATTATACGTTTGTTGTGGTCCATAAGTTTCGATCTAGTCGATCTGGCTTGCATGCCTATTCCGACCGTACGTCCAAGTTAAAAAGTATCAGTCAGTTTTCCGACATATGTATACCCTAAGCAAATATTCGACTATTTATATATATTGCGAATTCTGTTATGATTATTCAAACTGTTGACCCTTTATGAAGTAGGATCCGAAGAAACGGGCCAATATTGTCCATTTCGTATCGGAACTAAATAAATATGATATAAATATTACGACGTGCCACGTTTTGACTCTATTGCTTACTTCCTGCACCTTTAAGAAATCTGTGATATGAAAAGAACCGGGTGCTTATTTCGGATTTTATGATCGTATTGATGAAGTAGACTGATATTGTCCATTTTTGTACCCTAGCCTTGATGCAAATATTAGGATTTGTAAGGTTGGGGCAAAATCGCATTACCCTATCTCTTTCTGCGCAGTGAAATATTTTCATTGAAAATATTGACATTTTGTGTGGGAGGTACCAGAAGGAGTGGACCGATATTGCCCATCTCCGAACTCGATCTAAGTTTGACAAAAATATTACGATGTACCGAGTTTGCATCAAATATCCTGAAACGGATTTGGTCCAAAGAGACCTAGTGTCTAAAAACGTTATTTCGAAGAGGTACCTTTAGGCCGTATCAAATGATATATATCCTTTCTAGCCATATGGCTAAGGGTATAATTATAGAATATTTTTTTCTTTAAACTTTCGATTTTCTTTAAATTTTTTTCTGAAAGTACTCATGACCTGCTTGCGAATGTTACCTTTCATACGTACCTTTCCCACACAAATCAAAAGTTTTATACCTAAAACTCCTACTACTCGAATACTACTGCTCGTGAGTATGTTTAACTTGTGAGTAAAACGGAGCAATTCTGAGCTCTGATGACAACGGCTGTACCAAGTTTTGATAAATAGATCGGTTGGTTCGGATCGCCTAAATTTTAAATTTTACCTAAATTCATTTTTCTTGCCTTAGGTCTGTTTGCTCTGTGAGATATTTGATGTTTCTCAAACTGCACATATCTGGAAGGCCTCCGCTACTTGTCACCTTTACCGTATTCTCTAGGTGTTACAAACTTCCCTCGGATAAAACTCTGCAAAATACCAGTAAAAGCAGTTCCATCCTGTGTTGGCATGTAAAAAGGTGGTCAATTTTTTCACGATCGAGGCTTGTTTTTCGCTACAGTGGATCGTCGCAATGTCTTCTTTGATAAAGTATATTCAAAATATCTATAGAGGTCTTCCAGTTACAGACCCACAAAATATCACAATTATTAATGTCAGGCCCCTAAAATAAATTTTAATGGCAGGTCTCTAAATGGCCTCCTATCTATAGAATATTCCTTATCGGAGACCTGTAAAATGCCCTGTATTTATCTATTAAATGCTTCCATTTTTAGAAGTCCCGAAATAGAACTTCCATTTAACAGCAACCAGCAACCACCTAGATGAGCCCTTTACGGTAAGAAATGTGACAGCCGCCATTCAGCCCTGGAACTGCCTGGCAATTGGAATGTGTAAAAAGCCCATTTAATTTTCTCCCAAAAAAGAATGCAGTGCTATTTTTCAAATTGTCACACATTCACACCTTAAATAAATATTGGTATGTATGTATATCCGTACATATGTATTTACTTATATACTATATATGCCGACTTTTCAATTTTCGGCAAGACAACAACTACTTGTTTACGATTTGTCGTCAAGTGTGCGTGTGTGGATGTGCACTTTTGTTTGTGGCATTTAACGAAAGAAAATTTCATTTTTCGTTTTTCATTTTTTTTTGATTTTCTAACCTAAAGAAAATTCTTTTTCAAAATTTTCTTCTTATTCGAAATTCTCTTGCAGTGCTCTGCTCTTTTTTGAGGGTAGAAGAGATGTAAAGAGAGAATTTTTTGGGAAATTTTAAATTTCATTCACAAAAAATGTGGAGCAAAGTTGATTTTCTTTAATTCAAAATATTTTGAGATTTTCTCTTTCGCTGTGTGCAATTCTCAATTTGTTTTTGTTGGGGAGTTTTTCTTTTCCTTGCTCTCTTGTATGAGAGTGGGTGAAATTCCCTTAAAGTGGTTTTCTCCCGTTTTTCTCTCTTTCGCTCTCTTGAAAGGAAAATTCTCTGTGTGGTGATCGTGACCGATTGCGCCGTGGCAGTTGTGTGGCGTTTTTTTTTCCCAACCCCGTGAGTGGGGTGAGCAAGTGGAGCCACCTCAGTGAGTGTGTGACCGGTCGTGTGCCTCGACGCTGATTTTTTCCCTACGTTTCGTTGAGTAGAGAACATTTTTGTGGGAAAATTGTTTTGAAACAAAAGACCCCAAATCATGTCAGTGGTCTCTGCGGAGGTTTCACGTTAAAACGTATTGAAAATTCGAAACGAAAACGCGCATACCCCTCAAAAACAAAAAAATTAACAAAAATTAAAGAAAAAAAAAACAAATAATCAAAATTTTTGTGTTCTGCTTAGAAATTGCAGGGAAATTCCAATTGAATTTTCCATAACGAATACTGGTGGCAATTTATGTTAAATATTTTATTTTTATAATTTTGAAAATAAATTCAAATTCAACGAAATGTTGCAAAAGATAGCCAAGAAAAATGCATAGAAATTAATTTAAATTTAATTTCCCAAACGAATTTCTTTGAAAATTCACGTGAAAAACGTGCAAATCGTTTTAATCAAACATACCATGTGCAAAATTCCCATAAATTAAGCAAAAATATATAGAATACAATATTAAAAAAAATTGAAAAAAAAAATAATAAAAATGTATATAAAACAAAATGTGTAATTTTTTCAAACGCATAAAATTTTAAATATTTTTCTTTGTCGAAAAAAAAATAGCAAAAGAAGAAAAATAATGAAAAAGCCAAAAACGCCATTTCTTTTCAATAAAACATTCCAAGTGTTAAAGTTTTAGATAAAAAAAAATAGGAAAATTTTACCCAGAGAGAAAAAAAAATTGGAAATGTGTTAAAAGTGTGGTAGTGCGTTCGTTACCCGGTTTGTTGTGCCAATATCTCTAAAATAAGTGTTATTTTGAAGTGCCTTCCCCTCCACCTCCTTCAAATTCGGTGCTCCATAAATTTTGCCAACTGTGTTGTGTTGTTATTGTTGTTTGGGGTGCTTTTATTTGATATTCTTCAAGTGTTGTGCTCTAATGTTGTTAAAATTTTAAAGCAAAGTACTTAGCCTTTGCTGCTGTGTGGGCCTTCTCGGAGGAGGACCATGCCGGTCATTGCCGATTCTGATGAACCGCCAGCAAAATGTTGCAAATATTGTGAGGGTATGTTGAACAGTTGTGAAAAAAAAAAAAAAAATAGAACAATTTGTATCTCTGAATTTCTAAAATTTAATGATAAACTAAAAAATATCAAATCTTTACAAAAATTTATAAACGAATAGTGAAATAACTGAATGATCGGGAATCAAAGCCCGGCTGAAGCTAGAGTTTTGAAATTTTAAACTGAGGCCAGTGTTGGTGGGTAGGCTTGTGATATGGCTGGGTATTTGAAAATGTGTACTAGAAGAGTACGAAAAGCAGTAAAATGTACGCTGATACAATGGTGGATAGATGTAAATGAAATTCGTGACTTAAGGTCACGATAAGTTCTAACATGGTACTAAACTTCTAAAATGGTACCATTTGGTATTTTGTGAGTGAAGCTGAAAACTTGAAATTTGGTCAAGGTGGAAAATAACATTTCAGATTATATGGAGGTTATTTTGGAAATGTGTACTAAATGTGCGAACTGTACTGAAGGGTACTAAATTTGGAACAATTTGCTTTGAAGTGTACGGATGAAGCTGGAATTTTGAAATTTTGTATTGTGGTCTCAGTAAGGGGTAGGTTTGTGATAGAGAGGTGGTTTTGGAAATGTTTACTACAAGTGCACGAAAGTACTATACAGGGTAAGAAAAAAACTGCAACAAAGTCAAACGCCATAATTTTTACATTTTTTTGAATGAAAGCAAAAAATTTCGGAAATAGCATCAAATTTTAGAATAAGCTTAGATTTTTTCGAATTGGTCACCTTTGGCACGAAATATGGCCTTCAAACGGCCAATGGAACCGTCACACGCTGCCGAATGTTGCTCTGCGGCCCATTCCCGGCGAAGCGTTCCCATTCCTGGCAAAGCGTTCGTCGGAAATAGCATCAAATTTAAGAATAAGATTAGATTTTTTCGAATAGGTCACCTTTGGCCTCAAACGGCCAATGGAACCGTCACACGCTGCCCGAATGTTGCTCTGCGGTATTTTGGCCCATTCCCGGCGAGGCGTTTGCTTGAGGTGATCGACACTTTGGTATTTTTTAGTGCCAACCTAGATTTCCAAAATACTCCAGACACAATAGTCCAACGAATTGGTATCCGGAGATTTTGGTGCCATTGTGCTCGGGAAATGAAGCGAGAAACCTGATTTTGTAACCATTCTTGGGTGGCGCGTGCTGAGTTCTTTTGGAATGTCCAAGGTCTGCGGCCCAAGGCTTAAATACACCCTGCAGAATATTTTCGCTATAAAATATTCGGCATTCATTCTGATGCCATGGTCGATTAATACTAGCGGAGAGTGACCATCGGCTGTTATGGCGGCCCACACCATCACTATGGCCTGTGCTTGAGTTTTGGTGGCCAACCGAAGGTCCATATTTTCAGCTGACCTCTTATGCGAGTAAACACGATTATTTTGTTTGTTTACAAACTGCTGGACGACGAATGTTTTCTCATCGGAGACGGAGAAAACCAAATTCGGCAGTTAACCAGTTTCGGCCAAGCGAAGCAACTCTTTAGCTCCTTTGAGCCTTCCTGTTGCGGTGTAAGTTCTTACACTTTTTGGAATTTCAATGGCTTCACCCTGAGCTCATTTTTCGATATTTGCCGAATGGAATATTGCGATGAAATCGGTTCTTTACGCTTGTAAACAATTAAATGAGCTATCACTGGAATAATTTTAACAGTTGTCGGACGAGGGGTTAGAAATGACAGCAGTCTAAAGTTGGTTGCAGTTTATTCATCCCACCCTGTATTTTCAATTTTATGCGAAATCATAAATTCCATATTCCTCCCAGGTTTCTGGTTGAGAGAAATATTTGGTTGTAAAGAATCGCTTACTTGTTTCACAAGTTATGGCGGATAAAAGTATTGAAAAATGTGACCCTTTGTGGGTATGATACCAGAAAGGAATCGCAGATATATATCATCTTTACAAGAGATCATGTGTTAGCAAAAATATTTGTGTGTGTGTGTGAAAATTGAAGAGAGTTGGATGCTTATTTCGCTTTCTTTGAACTTTTTGCTTTCCAAATCATGAACCTTATGTGGGTTAGGTACCAGAATAAATTATCCGATTTCTTCCATTTTTGTGACAGATTTTCTGTTGGTGGAAATACTGAGATGTACCAAGTCTGAATCGTATCGGATGTAAATTTCGATTGTTTATAAGCTTCATGGATATTCAAAATTTTGACCCTTCATTAATTTAAAACTTTGACTCTTTGTGGGGGGAGGGTATCAGAAGGAAATGATTGGTACCCTACCATCTTTATAACAAATCTTGTGCTGATGGAAGATTTAAGATGTGCGAAGTCTGAATGGAATCGGATGTTAATTTCGTGTTTTAGGAGCTTCATGAATGATCAACATTTTGACTCTTTGTGGGTGGGAAGTACCATAAGGAGTGAATCAATATATTCCATCTTAACAGCAGATCTAGTGATAGTAGAAATAATGGGATCTGTGAAATACAAAAAGAACCGGATGCTTATTTCGGATTTTATAATTGTTTTGGTTATTCAAAGGGGGTATGAGGGGGTACTAGAAAGAGTGGGTCGATATTGTCTATCTCCGAACTATTTCTTATTTTGATCATAATATTACCACATATCATATTTAAACTCCCTTCGGGAGTTATCGTGCGCACCAGTCAGCCAGATATACTGACAAACAGACGGACCCCGATAGATGGACTTCAAGCATCCTGAAACGTCTAAATAAACTTACCATCTAAAAGTATGATTTCGAGTCTAAAAAAGGACTTTTTGTTGAAATAAAGTTCGGTGAAGCTTTGAAAGCTCTTATATTGAAATAGGAGACTTTTTCAAGTTCCACTATAGAAATAGAAGACCTTTTCAAGCTATTTTTTAATACTCTTGTTTATATATAAAACGAAGCTCTTTAAAAAATGTTAAAGCTCTTCGTAGTCCTTTTATTTCCTCGCGATAGACGCAATTGTCTTTGATTTAATAATGTCCACCCAAAGCTCTCGAAAAAGAAAATGCGTAATTAAATCTATGCTTTTCAAATCGTATATCAGAAAATGTGAACCCCACTGTTTGTGGATTTGTTGTTTTTTTTTCTCTGGCATGTGTGTTCTGTGTTGTACACTTTCTATATCACTTCACTAAGTTTCAATGGCAAGGGATTAGCTAAGCCGTCGAGGATATGCCCAAAAAATATCAATTAAAAGCAAAAACTCTCCGGGTGTTAGTTCATGTGGTTTCTTCTCCACTCTCTTCATATGCAGTACAGGTAGGCGTCGATAAATGCGATGCAAGGAAACATACAGATATTGAGAATTTATAAAACATTAACAGTACGAGTCAATTAATTAAGAGTGTTATTTTTGTAACCCAATCCAAAAAAAAAAAAAAATAGTTGAATACCCTCCACCATTCGGGACGAATTTGGAAAAAATAAAATCCGTTAAAATCCTGGTAAAATTCTAAAAATACAGAATATAGTCGTTATTATGGGTCTATATGAAGACGTAAACCTGCATAGGCTATTTTTGTCATAATCCACAATATTCAAATATGAAAAAAATCCGATGAATAATGTAGCTAAGATCATCAAAATACAGGAATATAGAGAGGTACCAGGCTGTAGTCCCTATTAGGAACTTCAAATGAAAAAAAAAATGAAAAATCGTCAAAATACCGAATATCGGGAAGTACATATATATGGGGCCTATATGAAAACCTGGATTTGCATAGGCAATTTTTGTAAAGTACTCAGAAGGATTTGTGGATTTTCCGACAATTTCATACAAAATTTTGGCTACAATCAAAATACCGAATATCGGGTATACCCTTATAATGGGGGCTATATATATAGCCCATCTTCGAACTTGACCTGCCTGCAGACAAAAGACTGATCTGTGCAAACTTTTAGTTTCCTATCTTTTTTCCTTTTTAATTCTAGCGTGATTACAACAGACGGACGGACGGACTGATCTAAATCGTCTTAGAATTTTACTTTTTACTTTGTTATGTCTAAAATTATTAGTTCGATGAGTTACAAACGGAATGACGAGCTTCAATGATATTCAAAATTTCGACCTTTGTGGGGGAGGTATCAGAAGGAGTGGACCGATATATCTCATCTTCACATCAGACCTTGTGTTAATAAAAATATTGTGATGTGTGTAATTTGAAGACAAGGTCCATTTTCGTACCTGACCTAGTCCTGATGCAAATACTAGGATATGCAAAGTTGGAGCAAAATCGGATTATCCTTTCTCTTTCTGTGCAGTAAATTGTTTTCTTTGAAAATATTGATATTTTGTGGAGGAGGTACCAGGAGCATTGGACCCATATTTCCCATCTCCGATCTCGACCTAAGTTTGACAATAATATCACTATGTATGTATCAAGTTTGAATCAAATCGGATACTCCCTTCGAGAGTTATCGTACGTAAAAAAAAATAAAAACTAGGACCTAAAACCGTTATTTTGATGGGGCACGTTTTGGGCGTATCAAATGATATACACCCTCTGTGGCCATATTGCTAAGGGTATACAAACAGCCAAGAACAGCCGGGCCGAACAAAGGGGTCAAAATTTTGAATAACCAAAATGACCATAAAATGCCATATAAAGCATCTAAATACTTTCATACTCCGCACATCACGATGTTTCTATCAACACTAGATCGGGTGTGAAGATGGTATATATCGGTCTACCCCTTCTGGTACCTCCCCCACAACGGTTCAAAATTTTTGAATAATTGTAACACTCATAAAAAGTTAAATAAGCATCCGACTCTCTTAAAATTTTACACATTCCAGTATTTCTATTAATGCAAGATCTGGTGTGAAGTTGGAATTTATCGGACCACTTCTTCTGGTACCTCCGCCATAAAGGGGTAAATATTTTGAATAATTGTAACTCTTATAAAATCCGAAATAAAAGTTCGATTGTCATCATACGTTTTGGCGTATCAAATTATATACACCCTCTGTGGCCATATTGCTAAGGGTATAAAAACAGCCAAGTTCAGCCGGGCCGA